GCCATGGGGCTGGCCTGCATGGTCTGCCCCAACTACAGCCTCTGATCATCAACAGACTTCATGCAATGCTTCATTGGATGCACATATTATAATCTCTATCTCACTCCTAACATCTAAATCTACTTCCAGCGTGGAGAAATGTTCATAAAATACATCCATTGGGTGCGTTCACACCGGAGTACTTTGGTGTACTTTTCCCACAATAGTTCATCAGAACTACGATATATTTGCGTTCACACCAAAAAGCCCCAGGAACTAAAGTAGCTCAACTTAGTTCGCGAGACTCGCTTTTCAGTCCCTGCTAGAGAGCAGGGTCTGTCGTGGGAGAAAGTAGTTCCTACGTCTGATTGGCTGTGTGGAATGCAAACCACGCCCGTTTGACTCAGAATTTGTTGTTGTAAGCGGCCATTGTATTTCCTCGCTGGACAGCACATCCGAAGAGATTCCTTTTGTGAAAGCAGTTATTATAGCAACACTAAATAAATCAATTGAATTGATGAGGATGTGTCTGCGCTTCTGGCGATTTACTCGAAGGACGCGAAGCGCCACATTCAGAAGCTTCTACTGAATGCAGTTTCCGTGGCTCAGCAAAGTTAGCAGACCTGGCAAAGTCATGTCGGGACGACTACGAAGGTAAAATAAAATACATGCACTGCACTGTTTTAATCTGCACAATACTGGTCTTAGATGTACTTTTATTTGCTCAGTAGATCGAGCTAGCCATGCTAGAACTTACTAACGTTAGGTCCAAGCTGGCTAACAACATCTAGCTAGCTAGCTATTCTCAGCCATGCCCGCTATGAACACGTTTTGACTTGTGAATAAGTGCAATGTTCTGTAATTTGCTTCACTAACTCATGGCACTAATCGTGTGTTTCAGGCGAGGTGTTTCTCTCAGGATTAGAAACTAGTTTTCCCCTCCGGGATAAAAACGATAATATAACGTTAGCAATTAGCATGCTAGCTGGACATAATGCTACCTCTGTGGCTAATGCATAGAGGTAAACAACAGATTGTAGTTGCTATAATTTCAAGTAATTTGCAACATTCATTCTACATGTTAATGGTAAAAGCTTAAACAGTTGATTACCTGCATGCCACAAAGACTGATGTTCTAATATTTTTGCACATTTAAGTAGAAATGTAATTGAAATTCTATTTACTGTCTAAACATTGTTCCTTGTATTATCCTAAATAGTTTGACCTTGTTTCCTCAGAAGGCTTCTCAGACTACATGGAGGATCCCTCAGAGAAACACAGTTTCCACGTTCAGTTCCCCCCCGCTGAGAGTAGGCAGCCTGCGCCCGGTCAGCGGACACCATCAGGACCACTATCTGATCACAGAGGATCCCATCCTGACCGCTGCTGCCATACTGCAGCAAACAGGAGGGAACGGAGGTGAAAACACACTTTATACATTTAGATATGTGGAGCACAAAGAAAAGTGTTGAGTTTAACTATAAAAATATTAGGTTCAACTAACCTAATACCGTTATATGAACTTTGCTGTGTTTTCAGCGTAGCTTTGTAAAGGTAACATTTAGCAGCTAAACTGTGGATAACAAGTAAACCACATTGGTTTGTTATTCAATATGGCCACCAAAAGCTTTTTGAATCATTACATGTCATTTGTTAGACGCTTTTATCCAAAGCTTACCTACTCAATACTGTGGGCAATCCCCACAGGAGCACTTTGGGGTGAAGTGTCTCAGGGACACAACGACATGCTACACCCTACCCCTACACACTACCCCTCCGTTTGCGCGTTCGCGCGGAGGGTCCGCCACATTAAGTGCTGTTCCAAACCAACGAGTGTGGAGCGGTGTGGAGGGGGAGTGGGCTATCAAGCCCTCAAACAGCGAGTCTGCATCGGTGCTGACTTGAGACTGGTCTCTACCTGACCGGAGTCACGCTGTGTGTGTCCGTCAGGAAACACGCTGTTTACAAACAGTTCCAGCAAACATCCACTGATACATTACGATGTTAACAACCTCATGATAACCTCATATGTTTTAACTTAGGATCATACCTGTGTTTAGTCTAGAAAAAGGTAAATGTGTGCATTTTATTATAAAGTTGTGTATATTTACAGACTGTTGCAAAAACTAAGAAGCTTATAAACATCAGGTTTGAAACTAAAAGAGCTTTACAGAAAAAGTAACACAATGAAAGATGTTTGTAGTTTTATTTGAGTTATTAATTTACATTTTTTGTCTAAGAGAAGCTGATTTGAAACCGTTGTTACATACAGTTACGGCATTTCCTGTTTCTGAGGAGAGGGGAGTTTGTCCCAAAGCTTGCCGCTGTATTTACTCCCTCCATCTGACAGGAGGGAGCCTCGTTGAGCTGCGAGTGTGGCTACAGACGGAGTTCACTCCGCCACGGAGGGGTAGGGTCGAGGGAGTGGTTTGGGATTGGGCCTCAGAGGTGGAGATCGCCCACAGTGATGACTCTGACGTGGGGGGCTCTCTGTTATGGGCTGCTCCCCTTCTGGTATTTGGACAATGTTGTCTCGTTGTTGCGATTAAACTGATCTTGTATCTTGCATATTTCACCTTAGGAAAGCGGGCACGCGATGACAGCTTCCTTGACACCATCATGGCGATGGACTGCCGTGCCATGGTCAGCAAGGAGAATGAGGACCTGCGTGCCAAGGAGATGCACGACGAACGGCTGCTGCATTCACACAAGGCCCAGGAATCGAGGTGGAGCAACAAAATACCTTTCAGGCTGGGCTTCTGGCAGTGCTAAGCGAGCTGATTACATCCAACAGGCCTTCAATACAAACATTAAGAAAAACTTGTCGTCGTTGATAAACTGTACAATGACTTGTTGGGAGGCGTGTGGTGCAGTGGTCTGGTGCGTTGGTGTTCGGATCAGGGAAGCGCAGGTTCAAACCCCACTGCAGTCAGCATGTCGTTGTGTCCCTGGGCAAGACACTTCACCCCAAATTGCCTACACCTGGGACAGTTCATTTTGTATTATTGTGATTATATATATATGCCACTGTTATTAATACTGACACTTCACTTTGCACTCTATGTTCTATATCTATTGTTATTATATATATATATATATATATATATTGCCACTGTTATATTGTTTTGATACTACTGACACTTATTGATCTGCTGCTGATAAATAAAAGAGAACCTACATTGCGATTAAACAGAAAATGTATCTTGCTTATTTCTCCTGACACTTTATGGTGACCTGTGTAGCATCCTATACATCACATGTAAGTGATTATTCTGATACCATCATGACACCATGAAACTGGCGAAGCTTTATTTATTGTGTCCCACCCCATATATGTGTCTTTGAAAAAGATCATTCAATTGTATTTCAAAATGGCGTCCATCAACACAAACACTATTTATAGAAAGATAAATGGTTAAGTTTGTAATTAACAGTGTTGTGAGTTCAATATTTTAATTAATTATAGTAAGGGAACATAGGAGGATATATAATAAAGGTGTTAACTGCTGAGCCTATTTACTGTGCAATACTACAGACATGTTAGTGGTATTATTTCTTATCTAACTCTTTCCTATGGTCAGACAAATCACAAGTCATTTAAACAATTTGAGATTGTTTTTGTTTCTCAATTGATTTTCCAGAATATGCACCACCTAGGCAGACTTTATATCACAAATAAATGAATGACATGTACTACAGTAATTGATTATATTGATATTGCCTACTCAGATATAAATGTGTATAAAATGAAATCAATTCAAAGTTTCTTGCTGCTTTTAATGCAATTCATGGCTGCAGGGCAAACGTCCAAAACCCTTATTCTACAATCATTTAATCAAGACACTTGTGTATCTTTTACTTTCATTTGTAATAAACAAAAACATATGAATGGTTGTCATCAAGCTGGATCGCCGGTAAGGCAGTCCATTCCTCCCTGTACTCATCACCACGACGCTCACACAGGTTATGCAATACGCAACATGCTGCCACCTGGATTTTGATATTGTCCATGTTGCAGTCGTTTCGCTTCTTCAAGCACCGCATATCTGGAACACATACAAAGACACAAATTAGCCCTACATAACTCCATAAATCCTACATTAGATAGTATTAATGTGATTTACTGAACGTACCATTGCTGTTCTTTGGGCGTGATAACGGTCATCATCCTCAGCTGACGAAACATGTCCATAGCGTGTGCTTGTCGCCGTCCAGTCCTTTTGTTAAGGCTTCTTAACCGCGATCTGTATTTGTGGCTGAGTTATTGGCTTAAATAACTCAGCACCAAAACCACAACTTCAGTCAACGTCAACTCCATAGCGTGTCTGACTGAGGTCGGAAGGTAAACAGAAGCATACAGCGGAAGCGGAAGGTTTTTTTCTTCTTCTCTCGGTTTTTTGGTGGATTGCAACTTTAAGGTGCATACCGCCACCTACTGTACTCACCGTGAAGTTGTTTGCGGCCTGCCAGGAAAACCTGAGCAGAAGAAGAAGAAGTGACGTCAGCGGCTCATTTGCCTAATCCTCCCCCAGGAACTCATTTTGGTGTGAACGCGATCTGCTTTAGTTCATCAGAACTAAAAGAGCTCTCAGGAACTAAAGTTCTCATGAACTACTGTGGGAAAAGTACTTGGTGTGAACGCGCCTCTTGTTTGTTCTATATGCTTCTTGAAATCCTAAAAACACAGTTTTTCTAGAACAGATTACAAATCGCCTGAAAATGTTACAAACAAGTGGCAACATGTGTGACGAAGGTGTGGCGCGGTCTCACGCAACCCAAACCTAAGCTCGCTCCATTGCAGAGATATTCCGGGAAACTTAAATGAATGTCTTCACTAGCCCCCCCCCCCTGTCTTCACTAGCCCCCCCCCCCTGTCTTCACTAGCCCCCCCCCCGTTTTATTTATTTTGGGGGTCGCGGGCTGAAAGATTAGGGAGCCCCTGCTGTAGAACACCATCGAAGAAGAACCTCTTTAAACCACCACAGAAGAAGAACCTCTTTAATAAACCAGGTGACGACAGCTGACGTGGAATCAAAACTTTATTTACAAAACAAGTTGCTTCACCTCGACGGGTAAATAAAGACGATCTCTAAAACTAGTTAAAAAACAAAACAAGCGGGAAATAACAGGAAGTCAGGGGCGGGGCTTCGGCGTCATCGTCCAATTAGATCAGGTCGGCCACTGCGGGGAGAAACACGTAATTAATCACTCAGTTTCCCCTTAAAGATTTACCTTAACTAAGGGACTTTCACAGAGAGGAGATACTACAGCATGGCTCTGATTGGCCGAGGCGGGACATTTGACCTCAGCCTGGCTCTGTGATTGGTCGTACCGTTCATGGGCATCTCGTCGATCTGCGTGCTGTAATACTGCTCGATGTCTCGCAGGATCCGGATGTCGTCGTTCTTCACGAAGTTGATGGCGACACCTTTACGCCCGTAACGACCCGAACGACCGATCCTGGAGGAGGTCAGAGCTCGCGTTAGACGGGCCAATCACACACCAGACATCACACACCAGACATCACATATATTTTCTACTTTCTTGTTTATTTCAAGTCTTTTCATTTGTATTGTACAATGCCATGTGTTCCCAAAGTACTTCTTATCCACCTGTGGGTCTACTTGGTGTGGAGGGATATGTGACCTGTAGGTCTACTTGGTGTGGAGGGATATGTGACCTGTGGGTCTACTTGGTGTGGAGGGATATGTGACCTGTGGGTCTACTTGGTGTGGAGGGATATGTGACCTGTGGGTCTACTTGGTGTGGAGGGATATGTGACCTGTGGATATACTTGTGGAGGAGGGATATGTGACCTGTGGATCTACTTGTGGAGGAGGGATATGTGACCTGTGGATCTACTTGTGGTGGAGGGATATGTGACCCGTGGGTCTACTTGTGGTGGAGGGATATGTGACCTGTAGGTCTACTTAGTGTGGAGGGATATGTGACCCGTGGGTCTACTTAGTGTGGAGGGATATGTGACCCGTGGGTCTACTTGTGGTGGAGGGATATGTGACCTGTGGGTCTACTTAGTGTGGAGGGATATGTGACCCGTGGGTCTACTTAGTGTGGAGGGATATGTGACCCGTGGGTCTACTTAGTGTGGAGGGATATGTGACCTGTGGGTCTACTTGTGGTGGAGGGATATGTGACCTGTGGGTCTACTTGGTGTGGAGGGATATGTGACCTGTGGATATACTTGTGGAGGAGGGATATGTGACCTGTGGATCTACTTGTGGAGGAGGGATATGTGACCTGTGGATCTACTTGTGGTGGAGGGATATGTGACCCGTGGGTCTACTTGTGGTGGAGGGATATGTGACCTGTAGGTCTACTTGGTGTGGAGGGATATGTGACCCGTGGGTCTACTTGTGGTGGAGGGATATGTGACCCGTGGGTCTACTTAGTGTGGAGGGATATGTGACCCGTGGGTCTACTTGGTGTGGAGGGATATGTGACCCGTGGGTCTACTTGGTGTGGAGGGATATGTGACCCGTGGGTCTACTTGGTGTGGAGGGATATGTGACCCGTGGGTCTACTTGTGGTGGAGGGATATGTGACCTGTAGGTCTACTTAGTGTGGAGGGATATGTGACCTGTGGATCTACTTGTGGTGGAGGGATATGTGACCCGTGGGTCTACTTGTGGTGGAGGGATATGTGACCCGTGGGTCTACTTGTGGTGGAGGGATATGTGACCCGTGGGTCTACTTGTGGTGGAGGGATATGTGACCTGTAGGTCTACTTAGTGTGGAGGGATATGTGACCCGTGGGTCTACTTGGTGTGGAGGGATATGTGACCCGTGGGTCTACTTGGTGTGGAGGGATATGTGACCCGTGGGTCTACTTAGTGTGGAGGGATATGTGACCCGTGGGTCTACTTAGTGTGGAGGGATATGTGACCCGTGGGTCTACTTGTGGTGGAGGGATATGTGACCTGTGGATCTACTTGTGGTGGAGGGATATGTGACCCGTGGGTCTACTTGGTGTGGAGGGATATGTGACCTGTGGGTCTACTTGTGGTGGAGGGATATGTGACCTGTAGGTCTACTTAGTGTGGAGGGATATGTGACCTGTGGATCTACTTGTGGTGGAGGGATATGTGACCCGTGGGTCTACTTGTGGTGGAGGGATATGTGACCCGTGGGTCTACTTGTGGTGGAGGGATATGTGACCTGTAGGTCTACTTAGTGTGGAGGGATATGTGACCCGTGGGTCTACTTGGTGTGGAGGGATATGTGACCCGTGGGTCTACTTGGTGTGGAGGGATATGTGACCCGTGGGTCTACTTAGTGTGGAGGGATATGTGACCCGTGGGTCTACTTAGTGTGGAGGGATATGTGACCTGTGGGTCTACTTGTGGTGGAGGGATATGTGACCTGTGGGTCTACTTGTGGTGGAGGGATATGTGACCCGTGGGTCTACTTGGTGTGGAGGGATATGTGACCCGTGGGTCTACTTGGTGTGGAGGGATATGTGACCCGTGGGTCTACTTGGTGTGGAGGGATATGTGACCCGTGGGTCTACTTGGTGTGGAGGGATATGTGACCCGTGGGTCTACTTGGTGTGGAGGGATATGTGACCCGTGGGTCTACTTGGTGTGGAGGGATATGTGACCCGTGGGTCTACTTAGTGTGGAGGGATATGTGACCCGTGGGTCTACTTAGTGTGGAGGGATATGTGACCCGTGGGTCTACTTAGTGTGGAGGGATATGTGACCCGTGGGTCTACTTAGTGTGGAGGGATATGTGACCCGTGGGTCTACTTGTGGTGGAGGGATATGTGACCCGTGGGTCTACTTAGTGTGGAGGGATATGTGACCCGTGGGTCTACTTAGTGTGGAGGGATATGTGACCCGTGGGTCTACTTAGTGTGGAGGGATATGTGCCCTGTGGGTCTACTTGTGGTGGAGGGATATGTGCCCTGTGGGTCTACTTGTGGTGGAGGGATATGTGACCTGTGGGTCTACTTAGTGTGGGAGGGATATGTGAGCTGTGGATCTACTTGTGGTGGAGGGATATGTGACCTGTGGGTCTACTTAGTGTGGAGGGATATGTGACCCGTGGGTCTACTTAGTGTGGAGGGATATGTGACCCGTGGGTCTATGTGACCCGTGGGTCTACTTAGTGTGGAGGGATATGTGACCCGTGGGTCTACTTAGTGTGGAGGGATATGTGCCCTGTGGGTCTACTTGTGGTGGAGGGATATGTGACCTGTGGGTCTACTTGTGGTGGAGGGATATGTGACCTGTGGGTCTACTTAGTGTGGAGGGATATGTGAGCTGTGGATCTACTTGTGGTGGAGGGATATGTGACCTGTGGGTCTACTTGTGGTGGAGGGATATGTGACCTGTGGGTCTACTTGTGGTGGAGGGATATGTGAGCTGTGGATCTACTTGGTGTGGAGGGATACGTACCTGTGGATGTAGAGCTCTCTGTTGTTGGGCAGGTCGTAGTTGATGATGAGAGAAACCTGAGGAACGTCCAGACCTCGAGCCCAGACGTCTGTGGAGATCAGGACCCGACTGGGGGGGGGGGGGGGGGAGAGTTAGTGTGGTGAGAGTATGAGTGTGTGTGTGAGAGTATGAGTGTGTGAGAGTATGAGTGTGTGTGTGTGTGTGTGTGTGTGTGAGAGTGAGTGTGTGTGAGAGTGAGTATGAGTGTGTGTGTGTGTGAGTGAGTTAGTGTGAGTGTGTGTGTGTGTGTGTGTGTGTGAGTGTGTGTGTGTGTGTGTATGTGTATGTGTGAGTGTGTGTGTGTATGTGTGGTGTGTGTGCGAGTCTGTGTGTGGTCGTGGTGAGTGATCGTGTTTGTGTGTGTGTGTGAGTGGGTGTGTGTGTGTGAGTGTGAGTGCGTGTGTGCGTGTCTGCAGTGAGCGTATGCGTGTGTGTGTGTGCGTCGTCTGGTGTGTGTGTGTGTGGCGTGAGTTCGTGTGCGTGTGTGTCCGTGTGTGTGTGTGTGTGTCATGTGTGAGTGTGTGGTGTGTGGTGTCGTGTGTGTTGTATGTGTGGTGTGTGTGAGTGAGTGTGCGTGTGAGTGTGTGTGTGTGTGCGTGTGTGCGCGTCTGCGTGTGTGTGTGTGTGCGCGTATGAGTGTATGCAGTGTGTGGTGCGTGTGTGCGCGTGAGTGCGTGTGTGTGCGCGATCGCGTGTGTGTGTGTGTGCGTGTGTGAGAGTATGTGTGTGTGTGTGTGTCGGCGCTCTGCGTGTTGCGTGTGTGTGTGTGAGTGTGCGAGTCTGCTGTGTGGTGTGTGTGTGTGTGTGTGCGTGTTGCGTCTGCGTGCGCGTCTGCGTGCGTGTCTGCGTGTGTGTGTTGTGTGTGTGTGTGTGTGTGAGCGTATGAGCGTGTTGTGTGCGCTGAGTGTGTGCGCGTCTGCGTGTGTGCGGGTGTGTGTGTGCGCGTCTGCGTGTTTGTGTGCGTGCGTGTGTGTGTGTGCCGTCTGCGTGTGTGTGTGTGTGTGTGTGTGTGCGTGTGAGCGTCTGAGTGCGCGTCTGCTTGCGTGTCTGCGTGTGTGTGTGTGTGTGTGTGGGTGTGTGAGCGTCTGCGTGTGTTGTGTGCGTGCGTGTGTAGCGTATGATGTGTGGTGTGTGTGTGTGTGCGAGTCGAGTGTGTGTGTGAGTGAGTGTGTGTGTGTTGAGCGTCTGCGTGTGTGTGTGTGTGACTGTGTGTGTGTGCGAGTATGGTGTGTGTGTGTGTGTGTGTGTGCGCGTATGTGTGTGTGTGTGTGTGTGTGTGTGTGTGTGAGTATGAGTGTGTGTGTGAGAGTATGAGTGTGTGTGTGAGTGAGTGTGTGAGAGTATGAGTGTGTGTGTGAGTGTGTGAGAGTATGAGTGTGTGTGTGTGTGAGTGAGTGCGCTCTATGGTGCGCGTATGCGTGTGTGGTGTGGTGTGTGTGTGTCTGTGTGCAGTGTGTGTGTCTGTGTGCAGTGTGTGTGTCTGTGTGCAGTGTGTGTGTCTGTGTGCAGTGTGTGTCTGTGTGCAGTGTGTGTCTGTGTGCAGTGTGTGTGTGTGTGTGTGTGTGTCTTGTGTGTGTGTGACGTGTGTGTGTGTGTGTGTATGTGTGAGTGTGTGTGTGTATGTGTGAGTGTGTATGTGTGAGTGTGTGTGTGTGTGAGTGTGTATGTGTGAGTGTGTGTGAGTGTGTGTATGTGTGAGTGTGTGTGTGTATGTGTGAGTGTGTGTGTGTGTGTGCGTATTAGGGATGCCAGCGATTATTCGAATATTCGTTACAGTCTCCATAATCGAAGATTATTTTTAAAATTCGATTTTATTTATATATTTTTTTATTACTATTTATGTTTTTCTTTTTTTTCCTGGTTTGGTTTCAACCAAAATATAGACTAATGCTAATAATAGTAATAGTATTAATAATTGTAAATGACCATTGGTCACACCACCAGTTTGTTTTACTGTAAACTTGGAGGAAGCCAGCAGCGCAGAGTGCAGACTGCTGCAGCAGCCTGCTGCACACCGCCCCCGCCCCCCCCCTCCCTCTCCGTCACACGTGCGATTGATTTATTGGCGACAGAACAGTGAGAACACAACTAAAGATGAACAGAGCGGCACGTCCACAGAAGAGTTCCTCGTGGAACTACTTCGAACTGACAAGTGCAAATGAAGTCAAATGCAAGCTCTGCGAAAATAAGTCGAATAATCGATTCATATTCGCCAGGGCTGTCCGAGTTTCTGGCATCCCTAGTGTGTATGAGTGTGTGTGAAAGTATGAGTGTGAGTGTGAGTGTGTGTGAGTGTGTGTGTGTGAGTGAGTGAGTGAGTGAGTGTGTGTACCTGGCTCCTGATCTGAACTCCTTCATGATGGACTCTCTCTCTTTCTGAGGCATGTCTCCATGCATCGAGGACACGGTGAAGTTCGCCTCCCTCATTTTCTCCGTCAGCCAATCAACCTGCAAACACACAAGACTCAGACTCCCAGAATGCCTTGCAGTATACACAGAACTCAGACTCCCAGAAGGCCTTGCAGTATACACAGAACTCAGACTCCCAGAAGGCCTTGCAGTATACACAGAACTCAGACTCCCAGAAGGCCTTGCAGTATACACAGAACTCAGACTCCCAGAATGCCTTGCAGTATACACACAGTGTCCGTTTCTCAATGTCGAGGAGGCTTGCTTGGTAGCCCATAGCATACATGGGCTTTCTGAAGTGTCTCCCTGAGTCTCCCTGTCTCTCTGAGTTTCCCTGTGTCTCCGAGTTTCCCTGTCTCTCTGAGTTTCCCTGTGTCTCTCTGAGTCTCTCTGAGTTTCCCCGTCTCTCTGAGTTTCCCTGTCTCTCTGAGTTTCCCTGTGTCTCTCTGAGTCTCTCTGAGTTTCCCCGTCTCTCTGAGTTTCCCTGTCTCTCTGAGTCTCCCTGTGTCTCTGAGTTTCCCTGTCTCTCTGAGTTTCCCTGTCTCTCTGAGTCTCTCTGAGTTTCCCCGTCTCTCTGAGTTTCCCTGTCTCTCTCTGAGTCTCCCTGTGTCTCTGAGTTTCCCTGTCTCTCTGAGTTTCCCTGTCTCTCTGAGTCTCTCTGAGTTTCCGTGTCTCTCTGAGTTTCCTCTGGTGTCTCTCTGAGTTTCCCTGTGTCTCTCTGAGTCTCCCTGTGTCTCTCTGAGTCTCCCTGTGTCTCTCTGAGTCTCCCTGTGTCTCTCTGAGTTTCCCTGTCTCTCTGAGTCTCCCTGTGTCTCTCTGAGTCTCCCTGTGTCTCTCTGAGTCTCCCTGTGTCTCTCTGAGTCTCCCTGAGTCTCTCTGAGTTTCCCTGTCTCTCTGAGTCTCTCTGAGTTTCCCTGTCTCTCTGTGTCTCTCTGAGTTTCCCTGTCTCTCTGAGTTTCCCTGTCTCTCTGAGTTTCCCTGTCTCTCTGAGTCTCTCTGAGTTTCCCTGTCTCTCTGAGTTTCCCCGTCTCTCTGAGTTTCCCCGTCTCTCTGTGTTTCCCCGTCTCTCTGTGTTTCCCCGTCTCTCTGTGTTTCCCCGTCTCTCTGTGTTTCCCCGTCTCTCTGTGTTTCCCCGTCTCTCTGAGTTTCCCCGTCTCTCTGAGTTTCTGAGTCTCCCTGTGTCTCTCTGAGTCTCCCTGTGTCTCTCTGAGTCTCCCTGTGTCTCTCTGAGTCTCCCTGTGTCTCTCTGAGTCTCCCTGTGTCTCTCTGAGTCTCCCTGAGTCTCTCTGAGTCTCTCTGACTCTCTGAGTCTCCCTGTGTCTCTCTGAGTCTCCCTGTGTCTCTCTGAGTCTCCCTGTGTCTCTCTGAGTCTCCCTGTGTCTCTCTGAGTCTCCCTGAGTCTCTCTGAGTTTCCCTGTGTCTCTCTGAGTTTCCCTGTCTCTCTGAGTTTCCCTGTCTCTCTGAGTCTCTCTGAGTTTCCCTGTCTCTCTGAGTTTCCCCGTCTCTCTGAGTTTCCCCGTCTCTCTGAGTTTCCCCGTCTCTCTGTGTTTCCCCGTCTCTCTGAGTTTCCCCGTCTCTCTGTGTTTCCCCGTCTCTCTGTGTTTCCCTGTCTCTCTGAGTTTCCCTGTCTCTCTGAGTTTCCCTGTCTCTCTGAGTTTCCCCGTCTCTCTGTGTTTCCCCGTCTCTCTGAGTTTCCCTGTCTCTCTGAGTTTCCCTGTCTCCCTGTGTCTCTCTGAGTTTCCCTGTGTCTCTCTGAGTTTCCCTGTCTCTCTGAGTTTCCCTGTCTCTCCGAGTTTCCCTGTCTCTCCCTGAGTCTCCCTGTGTCTCTCTGAGTCTCCCTGAGTCTCTCTGAGTCTCTCTGAGTCTCTCTGAGTTTCCCTGTCTCTCTGAGTTTCCCTGTCTCTCTGAGTTTCCCTGTCTCTCTGTGTCTCTCTTGAGTTTCCCTGTCTCTCTGAGTCTCTCTGAGTTTCCCTGTCTCTCTGAGTTTCCCTGTCTCTCTGAGTTTCCCTGTCTCTCTGAGTCTCTCTGAGTTTCCCTGTCTCTCTGTGTTTCCCTGTCTCTCTGTGTTTCCCTGTCCCTCTGAGTCTCTCTGAGTTTCCCTGTCTCTCTGAGTTTCCCTGTGTCTCTGTGTTTCCCTGTCTCTCTGAGTCTCTCTGAGTTTCCCTGTCTCTCTGTGTTTCCCTGTCTCTCTGTGTCTCTCTGTGTCTCCCTGAGTCTCTCTGAGTCTCTCTGTGTCTCCCTGAGTCTCCCTGTCTCTCCCTGAGTCTCCCTGTCTCTCCCTGAGTCTCTCCGAGTCTCCCTGAGTCTCTCTGTGTCTCTCTGTGTTTCCCTGTCTCTCTGTGTCTCTCTGAGTCTCCCTGTCTCTCCCTGAGTCTCTTTGTGTCTCCCTGAGTCTCCCTGAGTCTCCCTGTCTCTCCCTGTCTCTCCCTGTCTCTCCCTGAGTCTCCCTGAGTCTCTCTGAGTCTCCCTGAGTCTCCATGTGTCTCCATGTGTCTCCCTGTGTCTCCGTGTCTCTCTGTCTCTCTGTCTCCATTGATCCAGACGTTTCCATCACACTGATAGTAATGATAATGGGGCTACCTTTCTCTTGGTGTTGCAGAAGATGACGGCCTGAGTGATGGTCAGAGTGTCGTACAGGTCACACAGCGTGTCAAACTTCCACTCTTCTCTCTCCACGGCCACGAAGAACTGCTTGATGCCCTCCAGAGTCAGCTCATCACTGGGGAGAGAACACTTTAATGATCAGATCAGGTCTGAGATGCTCCTTGCATCACAGCAGCTCCATGTGGAACATCAACAGACACACAGAGGATGCTTCACACACACACTCACCGCTTCACCAGGATGCGGATGGGGTCGGTCATGAACTTGTTGGTCATCTCCAGGATCTCGTGGGGCAGCGTGGCGCTGATCAGACACACCTGGGTGGCGGGGGGCAGGTAGCGGTACACATCGTAGATCTGCTCCTTGAAGCCTGGACAGGAAGTGAGCGTTAGAGATCAAGTACTTATCATCTAGCTAACTGGTTCCAGGTCCGAGTCTCACCTTTGTTCAGCATCTCGTCCGCCTCGTCCAGAACCAGCATCTTGATGGCTCGAGTCCTCAGGCTGCGGCGCCGGATCATGTCTGAGGAGAGAAGCGTTACTTCCTGTCTGAGGTTAACGGGGGGGGGGGGGGGGGCGTTACTTCCTGTCTGGTGTTAAGGGGGGGGGGGGGGGGGAGAGAGTTACTCCCTGTCTGGTGTTAACAGGGGGGCGTTACTTCCTGTCTGAGGTTAACAGGGGGGGTGTTACTTCCTGTCTGAGGTTAACAGGGGGGGTGTTACTTCCTGTCTGGTGTTAGGGGGGGGGGGGGGGGGGGAGAGTTACTTCCTGTCTGGTGTTAACAGGGGGGTGTTACTTCCTGTCTGGTGTTAACAGGGGGGCGTTACTTCCTGTCTGGTGTTAACGGGGGGGGGGGCGTTACTTCCTGTCTGGTGTTAACGGGGGGGGGGGCGTTACTTCCTGTCTGGTGTTAACAGGGGGGTGTTACTTCCTGTCTGGTGTTAACGGGGGGGGGTGTGTTACTTCCTGTCTGGTGTTAACAGGGGGGTGTTACTTCCTGTCTGGTGTTAACAGGGGGGTGTTACTTCCTGTCTGGTGTTAACAGGGGGGGTGTTACTTCCTGTCTGGTGTTAACAGGGGGGTGTTACTTCCTGCCTGGTGTTAACAGGGGGGTGTTACTTCCTGCCTGGTGTTAACAGGGGGGGGGGGGGCGTTACTTCCTGTCTGGTGTTAACAGGGGGGCGTTACTTCCTGTCTGGTGTTAACAGGGGGGCGTTACTTCCTGTCTGGTGTTAACAGGGGGGTGTTACTTCCTGTCTGAGGTTAACGGGGGGGGGGTGTTACTTCCTGTCTGAGGTTAACGGGGGGGTGTTACTTCCTGTCTTACCCCTTTCACACCGGCGCTTTTCCAGCTCCTGCTGGGAGCTAGAGCCTGAAAAGCGCCGGTCTCTCCTGTTCACACGCAGCGGCGGCGGGTCATAGCTCTGGAATGCGGTTCACTTCCAGCTCCAAAAAATTGTCGGTCCAGAGGCAAGAGCTTCGGAGCTATGACGCGGTGTCGCTTACGTCGAGGCGTGCAGGAAACCTTACTTTGACCATCCGTTCGCTGTTATTGATCATTGTGGAGATACATGGGCTGCACAGGTTGTCATGTCCGACTATCAGAAGTAGAATCATAATGAAAAATACGCCGGTAAAAAGTGCCTGTAGAAAACGGCTTAGCAAGTAGTCAGTTTAGCTTCGGTTGCTATGCTAACATCACCCATGTTATACCAGAGAAACTTTCATAACAGCGTTGTGATGCCAAACAGCGTCAATTCAGACTGACACACATTCACTTAAGGGGAACTGGGGATATGTATCAGCTGCTTGTGTGACAGTCAGACAGTGAATACTTTAGAGCCGTGTGAGCTAACCCGGAGCTAACGGGAGAATAAACTCCCGTGGAAGAGCAGCCAGCACTGCAGCGGTCGCTAAATGAAACACATTAATAAACAATGAACCACGGCACTCTGGAGAAAAGTATAAGGTTGGAGAAGTCGTTATTTAATTTAATCTGGCTTCGTATGATTAAAAGCAACACGATCATCGACCCGACGCAGTCCCCGGCCCGTTGTTGTTGTGGGAGAAAATCAGCGACGTAAACTGTGACGTCATGACGCAGCAGCGGCAGCTCTGGGCGGTGTGAACAGAGCGGGAGCTGAAAAGGGAAACGGGAGCTGAACCAGAAAAGCTCTCGCGAGGAGCTAGAAAGTGAAAAGCGCCGGTGTGAAAGCCGCATCTGAGGTTAACGGGGGGGGGGGGGGGGGGGGGCGTTACTTCCTGTCTGGTGTTAACGGGGGGGGGGGGGGGGGGGGGGTCTCACCGAACACGCGCCCTGGCGTCCCCGACACCACGTGCTGTCCGTAGTCCAGCTTGCGGATGTCTTCGCCCACGTTGGTTCCCCCGATGCAGGCGTGGCACTGCACGTTCATGTAGTCTCCCAGAGCCAGCAGCACCTGAACACAACACAGAACAGCCAATCAGAGACGAGCTCTGGGCGACAGCAGGGGATTGGCTGGGGATGGGGGCGGAGCTACCTTCTGGATCTGCCCGGCCAGCTCTCGGGTGGGAGCCAGGATCAGAGCCTGCGTCTCCCTCACCTGCACACAGGAAGCGGAGTTAGAACAGTTTAGGAGAGACGGAGGGACAGTGAACGCACCGCGGCTGCTAGCTCACCTGGATGTCCAGACACTGCAGCACCGACACACAGAAGGTGGCCGTCTTTCCCGTTCCTGACTGGGACCTGAAGGCAGCACAGAGCAGCTGTTATCACATAGCAAACAGAGCAGGGAGAGGCACTGGGCTGATAAAACAAAACCTGTGTACACTTTAAGAACAACAAGTTCTGGACTCAAACATTTAACAAAAAAAGTGTGTCTGTGTGAGAGTGTGTGTGTGTGTGTGAGAGTGTGTGTGAGTGATAGTGTGTCTGTGTGAGAGTGTGTGTGAGTGTGTGAGAGTGTGAGAGTGTGTGTGAGTGATAGTGTGTCTGTGTGAGTGTGTGTGAGTGATAGTGTGTCTGTGTGAGAGTGTGTGTGAGTGATAGTGTGTCTGTGTGAGAGTGTGTGTGAGTGATAGTGTGTGTGAGAGTGTGTGAGAGTGTGTGTGAGAGTGTGTGAGAGTGTGTGTGAGTGATAGTGTGTCTGTGTGAGAGTGTGTGTGAGTGTGTGAGAGTGTGTGAGAGTGTGTGTGAGAGTGTGTGTGAGAGTGTGTGAGAGTGTGTGTGAGTGATAGTGTGTCTGTGTGAGAGTGTGTGTGAGTGATAGTGTGTCTGTGTGAGAGTGTGTGTGAGTGTGTGTGAGAGTGTGTGAGAGTGATAGTGTGTCTGTGTGATAGTGTGTGAGAGTGAACGTGTGTGAGTGTGATAGTGTGTGTGTTTGATAGAGTGTGTGTGTGAGAGTGAAAGTGTGTGTGTGTGTGAGAGTGAAAGTGTGTGTGTGTCTCACTGTGCGATGACGTCTCTCCCCTTGATGATCTGTTTGATCGCTCTCTGTTGAATCGCTGACGGTTTCTCAAAACCTGAAACAGAACATGTGTTTACAGCAGCTGGCATCAATAGGCGCGTTCACACCGGAGTACTTTCCCCGTTTAGTTGCGTACTTAGTACCCCTGATGTCGCGTTCACACCGGAGTACTTTCCCCGTTTAGTTGCGTACTTAGTACCCCTTATGTCGCGTTCACACCGGAGTACTTTCCCCGTTTAGTTGCGTACTTAGTACCCCTTATGTCGCGTTCACACCGGAGTACTTTCCCCGTTTAGTTGCGTACTTAGTACCCCTGATGTCGCGTTCACACCGGAGTACTTTCCCCGTTTAGTTGCGTACTAGTACCCCTTATGTCGCGTTCACACCGGAGTACTTTCCCCGTTTAGTTGCGTACTTAGTACCCCTTATGTCGCGTTCACACCGGAGTACTTTCCCCGTTTAGTTGCGTACTTAGTACCCCTGATGTCGCGTTCACACCGGAGTACTTTCCCCATTTAGTTGCGTACTTAGTACCCCTTATGTCGCGTTCACACCGGAGTACTTTCCCCGTTTAGTTGCGTACTTAGTACCCCTGATGTCGCGTTCACACCGGAGTACTTTCCCCGTTTAGTTGCGTACTTAGTACCCCTGATGTCGCGTTCACACCGGAGTACTTTCCCCGTTTAGTTGCGTACTTAGTACCCCTGATGTCGCGTTCACACCGGAGTACTTTCCCCGTTTAGTTGCGTACTTAGTACCCCTTATGTCGCGTTCACACCAGAAAGAGCACTTAATCATCATCAATTCATCTCGTGAACTTTTCCCCCCATGTTCAGTGCCTGCTGAGAGATGGTACTCTCCTGGGGAAAAGTGCCCCAGTTCTGATTGGCTGGGAGAATTGCAAACCACGCCCCGTACAACTCTGAAAACGTTTTTGCAGAGCCACCATTGTATTTGCTGGCATTAGCATTAGCATTCGCCCAGCGCACCAACGGAGAGAGAATAACTTATGGCAACACAAAAAACCATGGGAGCGGTGGAGATGAGGAGGTGTGGGCGTTCTGGAGATTTACTCCCCAACTCCGGGCGGCAGTATACGCCGTGAAGTGGTTTGCGGCCTGCCAGTAAACCCAAAGCAGAAGAAGAAGTGACGTCAGCGGCTCATGTGCGTAATCTTCCCTCAGAGAAAAGTTAGGGCTGCTCAATTAATCATATTTTAATCGCAATTACGATTATGGCTTGCAACGATTACGAAAACAACATAATCGAAATAAAACGATTATTTTTGTATTATTACTTTGAATTAAAACATTTTTTTATTGGTTTTTCAGTTGAATTATACTTTAAAGTTCAACTGTTAAAAACATACTGTTCAAAAAAATGGATGTTTTCAAAGTAAAAGGATAATCGATTTTAATAATCGTGATATCAATTATTGACCCAAATAATCGAGATTATGATTTTTGCCATAATCGAGCAGCCCACGGAAAAGTACTTGGTGTGAACGCGGCTATAAACAACAACAACGTAAAGCCTCCCCAGGAGATGTTGGCTATAAACAGGTCAATCATAACAAGCACAGGTTATGTTCTCGTGGGAAGAGACTCTTCTGAATACGTCTCTTCTACCCCGAATATATTTATGGCTTACAATGTTTACTTTATTACATTGTTATTTTAAGGATGCAATGTTTGTGACTGACAGATCAATATCATCAGTTAAGACTGCTCTGTGCACACGTCTGCACAGCCCTCCACCTTCAAGTATAATACCCTGTAGTTTGCCATGTACTCATGGTTCTTGTTTTTCAGCTGTTATGTGTCGTCACATTTACTCCGTGTAAATCTTTAGCTCCTTTTAAATGCTAGATTGTTTAATCTACTTCTATTTTCTACCTACTTTGCATCTTGTTTCTGTTCACCATGTGATCACCTGATTCTGATTCAATAGTCTCCAGACCTTCAGCTCTAACGTGACTACAGGTGATACATGAAGTATCAGAGAGAATAGAAATACTCAGTGAGTGCCAGAGAGAATAGAAATACTCAGTGAGTGCCAGAGAGAATAGAAATACTCAGTGAGTACCAGAGAGAATACAATAGAAATACTCAGTGAGTACCAGAGAGAATACAATAGAAATACTCAGCGAGTACCAGAGAGAATACAATAGAAATACTCAGCGAGTACCAGAGAGAATACAATAGAAATACTCAGCGAGTACCAGAGAGAATAGAATAGAAATACTCAGCGAGTACCAGAGAGAATAGAAATACTCAGCGAGTACCAGAGAGAATAGAAATACTCAGCGAGTACCAGAGAGAATAGAAATACTCAGCGAGTACCAGAGAGAATAGAAATACTCAGCGAGTACCAGAGAGAATAGAAATACTCAGTGAGTACCAGTACCTCTGACCTGCACTCGGTTACTTTACACCTGTTATCAATAGTTAATATTCTGACGACAATTTTACGGTTTGAAATGCTTTTCTGCTACTTTATCATTGTATGTCCAGTTAATTTGTGTAGATTACCTGCATATTATTACCTCTATTACCTACATTTTAACCGCTGTGTTTACAGAGCTGATGCTAACAGCTAATGCTAGCTGCTGATGCTAGCAGCGGGAACACTTTAATACTAATAATACTAATAATAATGAATAACTAAACCCCCTAAATCACTTTACAATGAACACAACTCATCTGCAGTGTAGTTAAACGACACCAATCCATCGTGTTTACTGTATGGACAGCGGAGGAACACATGCTAAGCTAAGCTAACAGTAGGCCCCTGATCCCCGGTGTTACCGTAGGCGTAGACCCCTCTCAGGAGGTCCTCCCGCAGCCCCATCGTGTCGAAGGTCGGCGTCACATCCACCTCCTCGCTGGTCTCAAACTCTACTTTCGTCATGTCCTCCTCCCTCATGAGCCTCTTCCTCCCTCCTGATGTTACAGCGGCGACAGCCATCGTGTTCTTTACTCGGGATTAAAGACAAATAAACAGAGCGCTGCTAAGCTAACGGCTAACTGAGAGAAAGACCGCTCACGTGTTGAGCTGGTGACGTAGTTCCGGATTTATTCTTCTACCGGTTTACAGCAGTGTGGCGTACGGCAACCAAAGTGGGACATTTGACACAACGGCGTTTCGCAAAGAAGAAAAAAAAAGAGAAGGGTCTAGCTGCAGCAAGCCCCCAGGAAGTGCGCCGGACTCAGATGAAAATATTCGTGCTGGCCAAACGGCGGTACTACACTTCCTTTTGGTTGCCAGGCCCGGAAACACTTTTTCCCATTGACTTACATGGGGACAGAGTGGTCTGTAAATCGTTGGATAATTTTTTTTAAACTAAATAAACTACCCAGTATGAACACTTGTATAGCCCTTATTAAAAACATTCGTTCCTCAAGTTGTAAAAATGTGCTAATAACGTTATTCTGAGAGTTATTTCCCTCTGCATTATGAACGCGCATCTAACCCACGGGACCGCGCCGCCCGGCACGTTCATGTTACGTGTTCAGCACTAGTACATGCGTTTATCTTTACCCATGGATGTACAATAAGAACGGACCCATATCGCCTTACTGCCAGCCCACGGAGCTGTAATAATGGATATATTGCACATGTTTGCTGTAATTCATCATTTGTAAAATATTATACTACATGGGCTGTATGATTAAATCTTGTACCGTAAATGTTGTATTAAATAAAGTTAATATTACCGACGTAGATTAACGTCCCTGTAGCTTCTTATTGCACTAAGAAGCTTATTGCACTGTATATATATACATATATATATATATATATATATATACAGTGCAATAATTCTTTCATGCTAAATGAAGCTCTGTTGCTTGGATATCACTAGATCCTGTTACAGCGTAATATAAAAGTACATAACGATTGATGTGTAAATTAGCATAATTACTAGCTAACCGCTAGCTGTTAACTGCCGCCTCGTTAATATCAAATCTATCATAATAACAACCCATTACCATGCTGTCATGAACGTGCGGTGCTGTTACGTGTACGCAAATTGACGTGCTTGATGTGAACGAGCATTTTGGGGGGCATGGTTAAAGTTGCGCATGCGCTATGAGCGCACATACGGGTACTTCTCAGGCATGCCGGGTAATCTGTGACGTTTCGCTCTCTCAAAAGTTGGGCCATTTTATCATCATGCGCGAATGAGCAACTCTCATAGGAATGAATGAGGCCCCGCCTCCCACGCTGTATCCAGTTCTTATTATACATCCATGATGAGGCCCCGCCTCCCACGCTGTATCCAGTTCTTATTATACATCCATGAGCTGCAGCCGCGGCCAGTACACGACACTACACGACACGCCCACCTGACACGACACTACGGTGGCTGAGAGACATTACCGTACATGGCAGATTAAAAGCGAATTGACGACACAGTGGGTGTTTCTCAATCGCGAGTAAAGCTGCTTCAGAGCCACTATTTCAAGCATTGATTGATTGATTGATTGAAAAGTTTATTAACAGCTTGTATATTGGGTACAGTACAGTACAGCTCAAAACATACAATTGTTAAGGGGATGCAGACCAGCGAAAGACTTTCGTCTTGTTTACATCAGGGTCCCCCATTTCCAATTCATCATATCATTTAAGACATATAAGACATATTTGACATACAGATGGCTTATTTACAATTTACATACAGGTGGTTTTTTACATACAGATGGCTTATTTACAATTTTCATTTTAGATTTCGTTCTAATACATCCTAACCGGACATTTAAGACATACCAAGTCTACAGATATACAGTTAGTAACAGAGTCTAAAATGCGAGTATATACATAGATGGGGGGGGGAAGCTGTCCATTGTACGACAGGTTGAGATTTGTACCATTACCGGGGCCAGTTTTGCAATGCTTTCCCCCGAAGGTGCTCTTTAAGAGAGGTTTTGAAGGTAAGTATAGTTTTACTTTCCTTTACAGTTGTGGGAAGAGCGTTCCACCTTGATGTGGCATAATTGCGAAACGTGTATTCCCCTTTTTTTGTGCCAAATCTGGGTTTTACATGATTTGTGGAGCTCCCTCTGGTGTTATGATCATGGTATTCCTTGACCTTTGGGAAGAATTTTGACATGTACATGGGTACCATAGAGGTGTAGTGGATCTTGTAGACCAGGCCCATTGCAAGTAGCTGTACTCTGTCGTCTACTCTAAGCCATCCTAGGTTGTCAAAGTGGGCAGAGGTGAGGTGGGTTCTAGATGAAAGGTCAAGCAGTAGTCTGACCAGTTTATTTTGCGATGTTTGAAGTTTTATTTTTAGCGCCTTGGAGGTGCTAGGGTACCATGACGTGCAAGCATAGTCATAGTACCCTTGAATGAGTGCTCCTGCCAGAGTTTTCAGGGTGTTTTTGTTTACCAGAGAGGAGATCCGGTATAGGAATCTAGTTCTTTGATTGACTTTTTTTATTACATTGGATGCCATTTTGTCACAGGAGAGGTTTGCCTCAAGAATAGATCCTAGGTATGTAATTTCCTTCTTACTTGTGACAATAATGTCACCCACTGCAACTGAGAAGTCGTCGGATTTGCTGAGATTATGTTTCGAACCGAAGAGAATGGACTCTGTTTTACCCAGGTGTAATGATAATTTATTATCGGCGAGCCAGGTGCAGATTCTGCCGAGCTCGGAGCTGAGGGTTTTTTCAACCTGCAATCTGCTCCTGTCAGAGACCAGCAGGGCTGAGTCGTCCGCGAACAGGAACAAGTTGCAGTCACATGCTGATGACATGTCATTTGCATAAATTAGGAACAGTAACGGACCTAATATGCTTCCTTGTGGAACACCACAGCTCACTGGGAGGGGGGGGACAGAGTACCGTTTACCTCCACCATCTGTTCTCTCCCCTCCAGGTAGGATTGCATCCAGCTCACCGATAGTTTATCAAAACCAATTGCTTTTAGCTTGTCAATCAGAATGGGGTGATTGACAGTGTCGAAAGCCTTTTGTAGGTCCAGCATCACCATGCCGCAGTATTTACCCTCGTCCACCTCTTGTTTGATGTGGTCGTTCAAATAAAGAAGGCATGTGTCAGTGGAGTGGGATGTTCTAAAGCCAGATTGAAATTCATAGATTAGTTTCTTTTCTGCGAGGTACTTTTCGACCTGTTCATATACTATTTTTTCCATGACTTTCGAGATGGAGGTAAGTATAGAAACAGGGCGGTAGTTGCCTGGGTCCAATTTGCTGCCCTTTTTGTGCAGGGGGGTTACTCTTGCAATTTTGAAGTCTTTGGGTACTTTTCCCTGTTTTATGGAGAGGTTAATTATGTGAGCTATGACTGGTGAGATGGCGGTTGCTGTGTCTCTGAGGAATTTGGAGGGGATATTGTCGTGGCCAGTGGCCTTGTTAGGTTTGAGGGCGCTCAGTTTAATGAGTACCTCTGCTGTTGTTACCCTTGCTAGACTGAAATCATCTTTGCGTACCCCTAGGTTTTTGTAGTAGGTCATGATGTGATCTACTCCAAAAAGCCCTGAGTGGGAGGGTAATTTATTTACAAGAGTTGTGGCTATGTTTGTGAAAAAAATGTTCAAGTACTTGGCCACATCCAGTTTGTCTGTGATGAGCCTGTTATCTGTCTTTATGTTTACGTTTGAAAATCTCGTTTTGAGTTTTTTACTGCAGCCAAGCTGGTTATTGAGTAATTTCCAAAGTTCACGGGGTTTATTTTTGTTTTCCTCAGTTTTGTCATTGATGAAATTCTTTTTGGCAGTTTTGATCATGGAGCTTACGTCATTTCTTAGTCTGTTTCTTTCAATTTTTAGTTCAGTCACGTGGGCCTGGAGTTCACTGCTCGTGCTTTTGGAAAGCATTGACTGACTTTTATGAAACTCAGAGCATTTTTTGTCTCTGGTTTTCATGGCGGTCAGTATGCCGGAGTGCATCCACGGCTCAGCGCGATTTTTTACCCTGGTTGTTCTTAGGGGGGCCAAATCATTGAGTATTGCAGAGAATTTGTTTTTGAAACCAAGCCATGTTTCTTCAACTTGTGTACCACTGAGCTCATCTGACCAGTCCAGGCTCTCCAGTTCTAGGTTAAAGGCCTCGCTACGCATGCTACGTCATCGAGTGCCGCCGAAGTACTGTTCCAATCTCCAGTATACTTGGAAATCTACCGAGCCCGGCGTACTCCCTTTGGAGAAATATCGAGTGTGCACATGAGTAGACTCAGCGGTCTTAAAATCCCCACAATGCTTTGCGCACGGACCAATTTCCCCAAATCTGTGGCGGAAGATGTAAGAGGCGGGGCCTCTCATATGACGCACACCTGCACACTTGCTAGCGTGTTCCTCTCTTTGTTTTCCGAATGTCAGGAAGTATTCTTGACTCGCTTCTGAAGCAAGATGCTCGGCAGACATGTGCTACCAAGCAAGCGTACTCGCGATTGAGAAACACCCTGTGTCCTTCTCAGGTCGACTATTTTCATTTCCTCGCTCCTCGGTCCTCGGTCTCACCGGAAGTTGATTTGTCTGCGCCATCTTGAGTAGCGTCCCATGGCTCTTATTTCTGCCGGAGGACCGAGGATCGAGGAGCGAGGAGCGATAATGGAGGAGCGATAATCGAGGAACCACCAGACCATCCTCCGGGGAAATCCTCAGATACTCGCCCCGCCCCCTTACTGTGTATCGCTCACTGATTGGACGATGCAGCGCATGCACTGATCTGATGCTTCTTGACATGAGAGCAGTTTCCCAGCGGAGTGAAGAAAACACATGAAACTCACGCGACTCACTCCTCAGTTCATACTGGGTTCTGTTTCAATGAATGCATCATTCAGTTACAAATATGTGATATATCTGAACAACTAAGTGGACAAAGATCATTTTATTCATTTATTGGAAACATTTTCATGATCGCTTTTTCGTTTTAACATTTTCATTTATTGTCATTTCCATTCAGTCAGTCATTAAGTGCTATTTAACATGTTAATGTGCTACATATCCACACAAACTAACAAAGTGTGCAATCCAATGAATGTTAATCTAACTGGGTTTTGATAGATAACATATCTCTCTTTCTTCTCTGAGTTATTTTATTTCTATTGTGCACTCTAATCA